CTGCTTCTGAGCAAGCTCCCAAATTCACCTTACTGGACTATTGCGGCACAGGAAATACTCCTTTTCAAAGGGAAGCACTGCCTCGTGGGTGTACTTGCAGCCAGGTCTGCTGTGCGTGCGAGGGAGGCTGCTGCTCCAGTTTCTGCCCTGTGTAGAGTATTCAGAGTAGCCTGCTCTTTTCCACAGGCACTCAGACCTGTGCAACAAGTGGGCCGTAGTCCAGGAGAGCTGTTCACACAGAAACATCCTGCTCCCAGTTGCCATGTGTCCCAGCAGGCTCTCGTTCCTCTTCTGTCCTGGATACAACAGCTGGGGAACAGTGTGAAACGTGGTGGCCTCAAGGCTGAGCATCTCCCTTTACAGACTATCTGCTTGAGACACGGACATGCTTTCTCCAGAATCCCCCAGGAGTAGTGGCAGTTCGTGTTTTCTGAGGAAAAGAAGGTCTGTCTTTGTCTCTGGCAGAATCCCAAAGGCCCTCTTACGGGAGGGGCAGGATCACCAAGATAGCTGATGCTTAATGCCTTCATTACACATTACACATCACGCTAGAAAACAACCTTTCCCGCCATGCACCCTGGTGTTCTCTCCTGCTCTCTTAAACAACAAAAAAGAAGTTAAGTGTACAGTTAGAACACAGGGATAATTAGGCATTAATCACACTTGATACGCTTTACCATTTTTAACTAAGCACTGTGGGGAAAGGCTTCTCCTTTAACAGGCAAAAATGATTTTTGTGTCGAGGAAACATACTAAAATGCTGAAGTGTTCATTTAGGAAAGGCAGATGTCCAGTGCATTGATATTAATAATCAATTATTAGCAAAAGGATATACAATTTGGATGCTGCCTTGATTTCCTTAAGCGAGGGGAGGGAGGGAGGTAGTTTCTTCTACCAAATCAGTCTTGGTTTTCCTTGTAAATTTTTTTTTTTTTAATTAAAAATAAGAGAGTACTCCTTTTTTAATTTTTTTCTTTTTTAATACTGTTAATGCAGTTCATGTTTTTATAAGGCAGGCAGGCAGCGCACTCGCTTGTGGCTTCCCCTTGTACTTGGAAATTAATTTCTGTGTTACTGCGTGCTGTAGTACCGCTGTACTTGGCAAAACACGTGCCGTGAGGTACGTGGCTGCACCAGGCCTCTACGCTGGCCACGCGTAGCGCTCTCCCTGTGTGCATGTAGCCGTCCGACTGCATGCCAGCTTGTACCTGCATAAAGAGGTGGAGGTTTCAGTTGATGATGATGTATTCCAACCAGCAATATACTTTATTAATAAGGTATACCTACACTGCTGTTATCGTACATTTTTCGTAGATGAAAAGCTGAACGTGAGCCATCAGTGTGCGCTGGCAGCCCAGAAAGCCAACCGTATCCTGGGCTGTATCAGGAGAAGTGTGGCCAGCAGGTCGAGGGAGGGGATTCT